CCCGCAGGACAGGGGGCCCGCAGGACAGGGGACCCGCAGGACAGGGGGCCCGCAGCAACTCATGGACACGGTGGCCGTGGTCCCTGCTGGAGACACTGCAGCTGGAGGTGGGGTAAGTGGACTCAGCACCTTTGAAGTAGTGTGACTAGAAGACGAGGCTGGCCAACCCCTCTGTGGAAAGCACACAGCCCTCCAGCTGTGGCAATGGGTGTGCAGGCCACAGGTTCACCTTTCCTAAGGCGGGGCTGCGCTACCTTTGCTTGGATTGTGTGAGGTATCATGGTACTGCAGTCAGGCTGCCACACTTCTCAAGTGTGCGTGTGGGTAGGGGAGGAGTGGGAGTGAGTGATTCTGGTGATGTCATGCTCAGGTGCATGACAGCTGGTCTCCCCTCAGCGAGTTACCACTGTAATCAGACTCTAGGCTTCCACCATCGGCCCTTGAATTTTACACAGATGGTTGGCCCTGGGAAAGGGAGCCTCTGAAGTTTTAAAATCCAATGTGGCTCCAACATTAAGCTCACACTGGGGACCAGCTCAAAACCCACCCATTTCACATTCCCCAAAACGTTTCACTTGGTGGGCCTGTGATTTAGCTCCCAAGAGGTCACAGATACAAACACAACAAAGCAAGCTATTAGGGCTGGATGTGCTGGACGGGCACTCGGTGACGCAGCTGTCCCTCCACCCTGGCCCAGGTCAGGTTCTGCCAACCCCACACGCATACTCTTCGTTAGAAGGGTCCTGACGTATTTGAGGACCTGTAAGACTGGCGTGCACGGCAGACCCCATGAACACCCAGAACGACAGTGAGTAGAGTTGATGATACGTTGTAACCAGAATGACCCCAAATATCTTTATTTACTTGGCATTGTACTTCCCAAAGAATATTGCAGCCACTGGGCCTCCCTTTGTGCAGAGAGGCAGCTCCAGGAGCTGAGCCTGCTGGGAGGCAACTCCTCCTCCTAGCACCATGGACTCCATCTTTCAGTCAAGGCTGCCAGTGGCCACCACGTGGCCCTCCTGTTCCTGGAGCCCTCAGCTGCATTTGCCACCTGCTCTCTCAATGGACTTTTTGAGATGGAGTCTCACTCTGTCGCCCAGGCTGGAGTGCAGTGGCATGATCTTGGCTCATTGCAACCTCCGCCTCCTGGGCTCAAGCGATTCTCCTGCCTCAGACTCCTGAGAAGCTGGGATTACAGGCGCCCGCTACCATGCCCAGCTAATCTTGGTGGACTTTACACTGGGCACGTGTGCGCTAAGTGCTGACACAAAGGCCAGGCAAGTGTGCCCTGGAGACAGAGGGGTGGAAGGCTAGGTCACAGGCATGGCTGTCAACGGGCGCTGCTGTGCACCCATTCTGGCCACAGAGTAGCTTCACGCATCCTCTGCCCGGTAAATGCAGAGAAAACTCAGTTCTACAGGCCCACAGGGAGTGATGGCTGCTGGCCCTGGGAAGGAAGGTGCTCCTTACGGGACACCTGCTGTGAGCCCCTCCTGTCACCCCACCCCCGCCCGGGAGGGTGGAGCTCGTGGTGAGGCAGCCAACAGGACAAGATGCGGGGCCGGGAGGCCTCCTCACCCCCACGGCCTCCTCGCCACCATTCTCTCCCCAGGGAGAGACCCCCACACCCCCACGGCCTCCTCACCACCATTCTCTCCCCAGGGAGAGACCCCCACACCCCCACGGCCTCCTCACCACCATTCTCTCCCCAGG